TTGACTCTGTATCTTTGCTGCAGATATTGACTGTTCATTACTAATGTTCAGTGGAGACATACACATACTGACAACAGAAATGGAGGGCTGATATCAAGCCTTGCAACATCTGCTAAACTCACATGGGGAAAGGGAATATGAAAACAAATACACAAAGGACAGAGCCACTGAGATGGTAAATATTGTTTTTTCCACGCCACACCCAAACCAAAAATAGAGACAGAGAGGCCCTTAACAAAGCTTTATTCAGGTTCCTGACAGCTGACAGTAACTGCTTGTTTTCCACTGAGCTATAAGTGAACAAGACTACCAGCTTATTTCAAAAGCCTGAATTTGCCCGAGACTTAAATTTCTTTTGCTACGAGTAGATCAGAAGCAGATGAGAAGAATAGCTCTGTGGACATTTGTAGTGCTAAAGTCATGCAAATGTAGTAGATAACAAGCTTGCATTCCATAACGGGAGTAAGAGTTGATAACATTTTTCTGGGGGTGGGGGTGGTCAGCAAGAAACTGCCTGTAGAGTGGAGCAGTGTGGATTTGCTAGCTGGGCAGGAGGAGCAAAAAGCAAAGGAGCTGGAGGGCTGGCTCAGGCTGCTGACCTGAGAGCTACTCTGGATCTGGGAACTACCCTGGCATGAGGGGGGACCTCGAGTTTATTGAGGGCCCCCACTATACCAGCACGGCTGCATGAGAGAGCACACAGCCCAGATGGGACAGGAGGAAATTGTTGGGTGGCTGTGTCAGGGCATAGGTGGTATTTTCTACATCCTAGGCTGCTGCACAAAGCTCGTGTGCTTACTAAGGTAGATAAAGCTGGGCACTCCTAAACCTACTGCTGATGAAACAGTGGTAAAAAGGGGAAAGTGAGTGTAATAAATAACAGCCCAATCAATAAATACGGTCATTGTAATAAGTACAGTGGGCAAGGTAGGCAGAGGATGAACAGACCTACAGCCTGGCAAGTCCTCAGGACTGTGGGAACGTGTCCGTGTATGGCTCATTTGGAACACTCCCTGCCTCTCCTGCCTGGAAGCTACTTTCAGGTGAATCTGCATCAGTGTATCATAAGAGGACATTAATGCCAACTTGCCCAGGGAAAGTGCCTTAGCATCCAGATGTCCCTGTCCTGAGCTTGAGAGATGGGGTGGAAGTGAAATAATCTGTTTTGAAATAGTCTGGAGAGCTTCTGTCCAGTATAGGTGAAACTATTTGAATGGCTGTGGTTTCTGCTGGCAGTAGGGTAGCATCAGCACAGCTTGCATTGGGTTATTTCTTTTTCTCCTGGTCTCTGTTGACAGCGTGAGGATTTGATACTGTTCCCACCGAAGCCAGTATGAAAAGTTGCCAGAGTGGACTTCAGATTGAAGAGGTTTTCAAGTCACTGGATGTGTGGTATCCTTGACATAGGATACTCTTGTCTTTGTTACTCATCTCTTTCAGAAAAGCAGCTTTCCTGCTATAGCAAGCCTTTGGACCTTGTTTACATAAAATCAGACAAGTAACTGCCCTTAAATAGAAATACAAAACTATATTGAATAGCTGGGAAATGATGCAAAGTTGAGCCAGGCCCAGTTGGTAACACTAAAAAAATAAGCCCCAAGGAGATGGCTTACTCCTTGCTCTCCCAAATGTAAAAGCGACTTATGTGAATTAATAATAGAATAGTCAACCAGAAATATTTTTCTAACCAGAAAGCATCTGTGGCTTTGCAGCAAACATCTGTGGTTGAAGTGAAAAAAAGGAAGTTAAACAAACTTGTATAAAAACTGCAGACACAAAAATGTCACAGAAAAAAGAAAACTTGGGCCTTTTTCTTCCCTGCTTCCTGCTGTAAGTGATTAAATGTTTAGTTTCCAAACAATGTACTCATCTCAGGAATATCTTAAAGTTCCTCCAAATGTCTAAGTGAAAGTGACTCAGAGGAGAGCTCACAGGAAAATTGCTGCCTTTTTTTCCCCCTTTCCAATGATCCCTTTTGACCTTTCTACAAAAGCTTATTTCTTTTATTCATTTTGATATCAAACTTTCAGTAAGTAAAACTACATCACGTTTTCTACCTGTTCTCCTTAGCAATACATCCTGCTTGCCAGCACTCTTCTGTAGCTCAGCAAAAATCAGTGATTTCCATGCATCACTGCTTGGGGGTGAAGTTTTGTCATTACTTCTCTGGCATGATCAGGTGCTAAATGAGGTGCCGGCTTAGTCCTGGCTAAGGAACAATGGGGATTTGGCCTCCTGCTTGGTGTTAGCTGTGCCCTCCCCACAACAACCTGGAAATCATGGGCATACTCTGCTGATAGATGACCATATATAATCCTCAGATAAACAGAGTCTGAAGGACGAATTTTAAGTTCCAAACAAACATTTATTGATTAACTACATTTCAGTGTGTTGCCTGTGTTGAGCCTCCACCACCCCAAGTCTTTTGTGAAACAGTATCAGTGGAAAATGTAGACAATGCTGAGGCCATGTTTAACTAGATACTGTGCAAACTTAGCAAAAGACCATCCCTTCCTGAAAGACGTGAAGAAAGCCTTTCCTTGGCTTTCATTCAGTAAAGCCTAAGAGCAAATAGTTTAAGTAAGTTTGTTTCCTTGAGATCAGATAGAAACAATGGTGTGGTTAAGAAGGGCCTCAGCACTCACACATTAACCTTGCACAGTGACCACTTTCAACCAGGCATTCCTGGTTGTTCCCTTCAAGCCATAGTTCCCTTCACTTGCAGGTTTTGCAATCTGCCCTCCTACCTAGAGCTATGCAAAAATCACTGGGTGGGTGATTTTCAGTATTAGCCTTCAACCTGGTACAAGTTTCCTGAACTTTGCAAGGCTTTTGAAAGATCTGGATTGGCTTTTGATCAACACTTGGTTTAGCTCTGGTTTTGGGGTAAAGAGAAAACCGTTCCAAAGTTCTGGTAGTGTTTTGATTTTTATGTTTGCTGGACTTCCTCCAAAATCCAAGTGAAAAAATATTTCTTAAGTTTACAATAATCTCAGTTTCCAAGAACCTCTCTCTTTCCTTGTTTATGAGCAGGAAGTGTTTAATTTGTGTCTTCCCCATGAAACAACAGTACGTTTGACTCCAGATTCATGTGAAAAAGCAGGAGAATAGGTTGGCTCATTTAATTAGAAAAGGTAATAATTAGAAGAGTACAAATTCCTTTTGTAAGGAATCAGTAAAATCATGGGTATAATAAACCATCTGAACTCCTAGAGTGCTAGGCAGCAGATGCTTCATTTGTATTCATTTAGGAAAGGAGTTACGGCTCCCTCTCATTCAGTGTCCAGTCTGGTAACAGAGTAACTTTAGTGTCCATTCTACCTTCTACCCTACAACAATTCTTTGTGTAATTAACATTCAACAGATCTAACTACTGAGTTACTAAGTGCTGGTTTACCATGACACACCCAATTTGCACAAACATTTCTGAAAAGGGACGGGCCAGGCAGGCTGCTCCTAGCATGTCAGGTGCAACGTTCCTCCTCAGGCAAAGCCTCTCTAAAAGGTTGGCTGTTGATTTGCGAGTGGGTGTGTTCCTCTCACTCCCCTGAGATTTAAATTTAGCTTAGCAAATAAGCCCCTTATCTACAAGAGTTTCAAAACAGATTTTTGTAAAGAATTTAAGTTCAGAGGTCAGTTATAGTAAATTCGGAACAACTCTTTTAAAGTGTAGTGGCTTCTTGCTGTGTTCCCACCAGTGTGGTTGTGAGTGACTCTGCTGGGGCAGGGGGGCAGTCAAGGATACGGTTCAATTTGAGAAAAAGATGTTTGATGACTCAGGCTGAACATGCTAGGCCAGATTTGCGTTTAGGCTCAATTTTTTTCAAATTTATTTTTATGTGCTGGTAATAACCAAACCCTGTTTTTTTTTGTTTTGTTTTTTTTTTCAAACAAAAATGAGAGCTTATCTGAAGCTAGTTGCTGTAGCTATTACTGTTCACTGCTCCTTAGTATCTCCTGTATGAGGAAAAAATAAAAATGGGGTTTATACAATAAACTGAGGAAAAAATACATTGCTTACAATCACCACCCGACCATTGCAGGAGTAAAATAATCAACACTGCTTGCTGGTTTTGTGCAGTGGGAATCCTCAGGGGGTGGACATCTTAAGTATCTTTCAGTCAATATAGATTCTGTAGCTCTATAGAATGTAGTCTCTAACTGCATTCCTCTAAAGGGATTAAAATGCTGAGTATTTAGAACACTGAAAACAATTACAGTTTAAAAAAAACTGATGCAAAAAAGGTCTTTGTGATAAAAATGCTAATGCTGTATCCTGGAAAAATCCTTCCACACAAAGAGAAAACCATGAACTCCTGCAATATTGGCAGCAATTCTTAGTGAAAATTTATCACTGCATGTGAAAATGGATATGCTTGAATGCAATTTAAATTCTTGATTAACTGGGTTTTAACTGACTTTACTCTTACTCCCTATTTTGTAATTTTTTCTCCTTTTATGGAGCACAGCAATATTCCCCATCTGCCTTTCATTTGCTTTTGTAAGATTTTTTTTTGTTTTAAATTCACCAAATTCTAGGTGGGGAAATCAGAAATCCTTTTTTTTCAGTGAGGAAGCCGCATCCATTAAAATACCCTTGGGTTGAAGTAACTGAAACAATGTGCAATTCATGATATAAGTAAGGTCAGAAGAGTTCTAAATCCCTTCATTGCAGACATCAAAGATATGTTAACTCCCCCTTTACCCCACAAACTCTAACACAACCACTTCAAAAACTGAGAAATCTCTAAAAATACTACTTTTTATGTAAATTTGGCTTAAAAATATCTTTTGTTTTGATTTCTGCTGAGCCGAGTGTGTTTCTGAGAATAAAAACAACACTGAATCTACAACAGGTGGAACAAGAGAGATCAGATATTTTCAGGATAAAACTATTAGATTATTTTGAAAGCTAAAAAAGGAGTACAAAATATGCTCTCTAAATAATTTCTCTTGAAAGCCCAATGTTACAAGTTTAAAAGAAGAAGAAGTTTTCCTACCTGCAGCTTTTGTGTGGATCAGGAAGTGTAGCTTTTTTCTGATTACAATCTTCCATGGCTTAGCTTGGCTTCTGCATTTGAATGTTAAATATGTAAGAATGCCTTGTTTAGCTTGGGAGTTTGCATGACCTCTTAATGAGACACTGTAGTTGGTGTCATTGGGTATTAAGGTGTCATGTGACTGTAGATGAAAATAAAATCCTTTAAAGTTTGCATTTAATACTTCCTAGAATGTGTAACCCTTTACCTGCAAGCTGGATGAAAACCTGACAGAACTCACCACTGTCTGGGCAGGGTTAGTAAAAGAAGAGGAAGAACATGTGCCAAATATTTCCTTTTCTGCCGGGACAGTCACTTACAACCACAGCAAAGTCTGAGCCCGTCAGCGTATGAGTGCTCTCACTTGCGTGTTCTTAAAATTAAATCTACCTGTATCACAATCGGTGCTGGAGGGATTTGGCAGAAAGCTCCTCTGTTACATTTTATTTAGCACTGATGTTTAATCCCCACTGTTCTGGGGTAGTGCTCCGTAAGGGAACTTGGCTCTAAGGTATATTTGCAAGCACTGCAACAGGTTTACCTGTGAAAGTTGCTGACTTTCCTGGAATCATTTTGGTTTGGGTGTGCTGTTTCAAAGTGTGCTAAAAAAGAAGTTCTGCTGCCACAATCCAGTTAGGAGAGTGCTCCCTGTGCAGGATGAGAGATTTAATTTAGCCAGTCTCTGCAAGCAGCTGGGTGAGGTGTTCCCAGCTTTAATCTTTAACATATATCGATGTACCTGGAAACTGTGTTAAAACCCCAGCCTCCTGGAAAGAACTGGCACTGACATTGCATCACCTAACTGCATGGGTCATAGCCGGGGGTCCCCAGCAGCGCTGACGCAGCCTACTGATAGTACCTTGGAAATGTTCTGCTAAATCCCTTCTTTCTTTGTGGTGTTAAGCCTCATAGCAGCAGATATAGGAGGTTCAGCTGCTGTATGAGTAGGTGTGCTGTTCTCGCCCTGAATAATGCTGGGTTTAGGGTTGCCTCCTTGCCTGGGGGGCGGATTGCATCCCTGCTTACCCAGCGGAAGGAACGTGTTGGAGCCCTGCTTGTCTTTCTAGTGCAAAGTATCTGCCTAAAATCCCTCTAAAGCAGCGGTCTCGGTTTGCCCTGTTACACTTCCCCTAGTATGCGCTGCAGTGAGCACTGTAACAGGCTGCCCAGGGAGGTTGTGGAGTCTCCCTCTCCACGAGACATTCGAAACCTGCCTAGATGCATTCCTGTGTAGCCTGCTCTGGGTGGGCTTGCCCTGGCAGGGGCTTGCTTGGACTGGATGATCTCTAGAGGCCCCTTCCAACCCAAACCATACTGTGATTCTGTGATGAGACTGTCAAACTCAGTTCAGTGGTGGCTGAGGAGGACTGGGGGGCAGGGAATCAGGGACATCAGGGACACGCCCCCCCATCCCCAGTGCTGCCAGGCCCTGTATCGGAGACTCATGCATTGCATGCCAGCAAGCAAATTAATAAAAGCTGCTTTGGATGTGCTTATTTTAAGCAGAGAGTTATGTCATAATGTAAGGGCCAAGTATCATTTACAGTCTGTGGGCTCACGAACTGCAAAGCTCTGCAGCAGCTCTTTGGCAGATTTTATGTTGTTGTTGTTTTTTGTTTTTTTTTTTTTTTTTTTTCTCCTGCCAAGCTTTCAGTGTTAGCTGAAAATGGATTTTGAGAGCCAGGAAAAGTCTTATTACAGAACCTTCACTAAACTCGCCCAAAGGCTCTCTGGCCAGTAAGTAAAGAATTGTCCTTAAGTTGTTAGGGAGTTGAGGAAGGCAGTAGATGCAAGCAGCTGGGGGCTGCTCCTGCTCATACAGCATGGTGCTGTGTGTACACCTGAGCACAGCCCTTGTACTGTATGCCTGGCTTACAGCCCTGCCCAGATGGAGCCAGTCCCCAAGTGCCAGCTCTGCACCCGCTGGTATTTTGCCATTACCCTCCTGGTTGTGGTTGGGCTAATAGGCTGGGCTAAGAGGCTGAGAAATGACCCAGCCCCAGAGCTGTGCAGTAGGACAGGAGATGACCTTGGGGAGGCTGCCTCCCCCTTGCTCCTGATGCCTGGCCTCCTTGTCAGACCCTTTTCATGGCTACTGCATTTTTTGATGTTTCACAGACTTCATTTTTGTGGTTTCTTGAACCTCCACCCAGTATTTCTACACCAGTAGAGAAATTCTGTCCGACCCCAGCAGTCCCAAGCATGCTAAGCTGCTGTAGTACTGTTTCTGCAACCGAATGTTTCCTATGGATATGTGCAAACTGATGGATCTATTCTGGCTGCTTGTTTGGTCAGGTTTTCATAGATGTGTTCTGGAGGAAAAGATCACTTGTCTCACCAATCTATAGTCTTTGTTCAGAAACACAGGCATGACAACATTTATTTATTTTTTTTTTCAAAAATACTTGAGACATTCAGCCTGCAGAAATCCTTTCTGTTTTAATCACATTCTTGTGCCTTAATCGACTGCTTTGGCTGAGGTTTTCTGGAGAACCTTCCTGCTGAGATAGAAGTCTGCCTCGAAAAATTAGAGCCCCAAAGGTTAATTTTGCAACTTCAGATACTATTGTCAACATGATATTACAGTGGGGACTGCTGGGCAATTTACTAACAGGCAACAGAATAACAGAGACAAATGGCAGCAAACTATCCTGTTGCTTTTGGGATGTTCTATTTTCGCTTGTGCTACAGCATATCTAGAGCTTTGCTTCATCTCTCATCTTGCAAGTGGGTGTATTTCCCTTTAAATATTCTGAATAGATCTATTTTAGTCTAGAAGCTTTCTCACATGCACTGAAATATATGTGAAATCAGAGCTATGGCATGAAAGCAGAGAGATTAGTTTATACGATGTAAAAGTAAGACCTGTGCTGGTGTGCAGATTGTGTGGTGAAAGCTGCAACAGCAGGCGCATGGGTGTGCCTTAAATATGTATCTTCTGTATATTCCCTGCGGGAGAGGAGACTGGTGTGCTGCTGAGAGGGCAGGTGCTGTGGGTGGAGAGTGTACCATGGCTGGGAGCATGTGAGGGGCTTTGCTGAGTTGGGATGGGAGCCCCCCCTCACCCTGGTAAGCAGCAGCAGCATGGGACTGGGATGATGGGGCATTAGGGGCAGGGAGAAGAGCTTGCTAGGGGCAGATCTCAACAGCCCCTTTGGGAAAATCTTGTGATCTTAACAGCATTTTCTACTGGACTAGACACCTTGTGGTAACAATCCCTCTCACTCTTCTGGTTATTGGCCTGTGTTTTTAAGTGAATGTAGCCCTGCATAGCTGGTTCTCGACAGTGAATGTCCCTTTTTCACAGAAGTACAGTGGTGCAAACTGCCCCTTCTGGAGAAGCACATGATAAAATGCCTTATCCCATCCTGGGAAGGATCACGATGACTGTTCCTTCAACCTTTGACCTCTCTGCTGAAATCGAGAATTGAGACTATGATTTAGACCCACACTGAGAGCACCACTTCATGTCATGAAACTGAGAAGACTGCCTCCAAAATGCAAGGAATGGTCTTCAGTGACCAGGCTGGAAATGTAAACCAGGGAAAAAAGTATAGCTCATTACTCCCCCTGCAGCAAGGTGGTGTTTCAGGAACAGATATTGAGTAGCATCCTCAAGGGGGTGAAAGAACTTTGAAGTAGGGTATGTCTGTAGCATAAACACTTGATAATGATTCTTAGTAACAAAAAGAAAGAAAAAAGAGAAAACTGTCCAAAGGCTGTAGTCCACATGTAGGTGATTACATAATCAGTTTAATGGTTACATAAAATATGTGTAAAAAGGTAAGATGTCTTTGGTTTTATACTACCTTCTTAGAATTAGAATAAATAGATTTCATAATTGCCCTTTTACAATCTTAATATTTATATATTTTTTAATCCTTAATCAACAAAATAGAACAATTGTAGCAATGATCTGTAGTAGCAGATTGCTGCTAAAAGTCTAATGGTAATTAGCCAAAGGACCCATACAGACATACATAAGGAGTTTTTGACAAAGGGCAAAATCTCAGGATTTTAAGCTGATCTGGGGTTGAAATGGTCCTCACACATGTAAACACCATTTTAGTGATGATTTTTTGCTTTAAATTTGCTTTGCTAGATGGCTAAAACTTCTGTTTCTATAGGTTTACATACAGGGCTTGAGTGTGCAGCATAGAGAAAGGAGGGCTGGGGAACCACTGAAACCTGAATGCCTTCTGAATGCTTTTTGCAGGCTACATGTTAACTCCCATTTTGATGTTATCTGACAATATGTTGAATGGCCACAGGCTGTATGAAATGAAGTCACGGGCCATGCATTCCCCAGCTGTGGTGCAAAGGAAATGACTGATGAAAACATTTTTTCTAGCTGACCTCCGGCTTACCTTTGTCTGCCAAAGAATTTCTGGCTAACTCCCCTTCAAAGCTTTCTTGCAGCTACAGCCTATTCCTAGAATCTTCCGTGTTAGAAAATATGGACCCCGTCTGAGCCTGTTTATTGATGCACTTTAGATAATAAATGAAAGCTTTGTTCTAGATACACTGATAATGCTCCTTAAAAGATAAGAAATTGCTTTATTCCTAGGTAGGGATAGAACAGCACTTGGCATTTGCATGGCTCATTAGTAGAGAAACTACGCTGTCCCTGTACCACTGCATAGAGGTACTCGGGGACAGATTTGTGAGGGGCTACAGAGTGCTCGCTCTGCCAGCACCAAGTATTTGGACACTGAGCAGCCTACTGCAATTCAGAAACCTGCATCTTCTATTTATGTCCAGTGTGAGGAATCTGACCTGTGAGAAATAGATTCAGAAAGCTGAAAAGCTGAATGAGATAGTTTATCTATTAAGACATAGGTAAATTATAAGGAGGGACAGGACGTAAACAGCATCCTTTAGTGCGATTAAGAACTCAATACCTGTCTGAAGGGCTTAAATGAATTAGGAGTCATGTTCATGTTTGTCTATCTTGTTATTCTACAATTAAGAAAAACAGTACTGCTGCCCCACTCTTGCCATCCTTGCTTAGAACATAAAAACTAAAGTTTAAAGCAGGACAGGAACATGCCTTTTTATATACAGACTCACTGCTTTCATGGGTCAGCCTATTCCTTTGACCAACTAGACAAGGCCTAAAATCAATTCTCTTTGGCCCAAGATGAAGGGAAGACTGTTCTCATGTTTAGGTCCTGTGTTTTGCTGGGACTATCTCCTGTCCCAGGAACCCATGCCATTGTGTAG